ACACACTACTACTACTCTTCTCTCTTCTTCTTCTTCTTACTTACTTACTTACTTACTTACTTACTTACTTACTTAGTTATTAGTAGTAGTAGAGAGAGAGAGAGAGAGAGAGAGAGAGAGAGGGCGGTCCTCAGCGTTACTCCACAGAGCCCTGAGCTAGCACAATGCCGGGAAGTGGGGCTCTGAGAATGGCTCTTGGAGCCCTAAAGGACTCCACGACACTTGGTTTGGCCACTCTAAACACCCATTACAGGGTAACCTACTTCTGTCTCTTGTCTTCCTCTCCAACCTTTTAAGCTCTCTGGTATCTGCTATTTTTGAGAAAGAGATTCCTCGGTCCTGGAATAATTCTTCCGTTTTTCTCGAGCGTTTCAGGAGTTGGAAATGGCGATCATCCTGGCTACAAATCATTCAGAGTCTCCACCAAAAGAGAGACACATCAATGGTGAGCCTCTGTGTGTCTTTCATTATCAAAGAATGTATAATATTTAAGCTTGAATTTGTAAGAATCAAAGTTGTTGGTTTTGATCAATTTGGTTTTCTCTAATAAGAATGCCCGGGCATTTCTTAGCAATGGATTTCTAAATACTGGGTTTAAGTAAAATGGAATTTCTCGTTGCCTTTGTTACTGATTTTTCTTTTTTATTTTGGCCAGCTATTTTTACTATGATTTCGGCTTCAAGGCCTCGGAGCAACATTGCTCATTGCATACGTATTCTTGGAAGACGTCTCTCCAAGACAAATAACTGGGCAGTATGTTCCTTCTTCTTTCTTGTTATTATTGTTCTTGCGCTTCTTCTTCTCTCTCTTTCTGATTCTTCCTGTCAAAATTTACTGCATAATAATCCAAAGATTTTGGAGAATTGCGTTGAGAAACAGGTACTAATTGGATACATGCTCACTGAAACATAGATTACTAAAGGGAAATAGCTTTCATGGGGTACTCGGACAACAAATTTTGGGAGAAGAATCAAATATCACCTGGAGATGGATAGGATACACATTAATATGATCCTAAATATGATTTAAAAGTGAATCTAGTGGAAAATCTTGATATAGCAATTGCAAGATTGATCTTTTCATGATAACACAGTTTGCAAAAAATGGATATTTCTGATCTGTGAGAATGCAAGTGCTGAATTGCGAAGAATAAGTTGGAGTGAATTGTCTGGACTGCCCAATTTCGGATCAACTATGGATAAAGGAATGCATTCTTCCATATTCTTAATTGGGTTGTCTTGCTTCCATTTTCTAGAATTACCGAAATACAGGGTTGATAGTGCTGGCTGCATTTGATGTCATGGTATTGTGTAAAATAACATTAATGTTGTGTCTAATTTTGGAAATAGGATGATGAAGAATAAAACAATAATTCCAATTGCAAATTTTTTATTGGGTTTGAGGAATCCTCTTTATAAATTGAGTGAACAAAAGGTTGACTCAATAAACATTCCGAATTAATTCATATAAGATTAGTGCTTAAGGTTATTGGTTCGTTAAGTGAATAGAGCCATATAATATAGCCAATGTGGGTTTTAATTGTTTCCTAGAGATGGTATCCTTGTGCAATTAAATCATTGCTTTTAACATTTCCTGTCTTGGCTGCTCATCGACCTCGTGGTGATCATTTGCATGTTTGTTCTTGTGTCCCAGTTACTCATCAGAAAAAGATTCAGCAGGAATAGATTCACACTTAGGAGTCACTGGACTGGTCTCCAGAAAAATTAATAACTTTTTTTGGTAGGAGAATCATGACAATTATGCCATTTTTTGTGTTGCATGCCATTTTGAACTTTGATTTTATTTGTCAACCATTTGGGATGGAGTTTGATCAAAACATAGTCACTTAGACAGTTACAAATGATCAATGGAGGAACTTGATTGACAAAAACTCCAATGGTATTTTTCTTATTAAAATTGTGCACTCATTTCTTAATCATATACAATGCTCTCGCATAATTGTCTCTGAACAGAAGTATTTTCAGAAACTTCTTTCCAAACAAATTATGCTCTACATTACATTGTCATATTCTAGGATTTTGGCACACTCAAAAAGTAATCCATAGGCATGGAAAAAACTCCTGTGTATCTAGAATTCGCTTATTCATATTTCATCACAGATAAGAAAATGCATACAGGACAATTAGCTACAAACTTCAGCAGAATAAGAAACTTCACTGGCGATTCTAACTTTTTGGATCTGAAATAATCTCTTTTATTTTCACTACTCAGTACTACCAAATGGATGTCTTGGCACTTTAAAACAAATACAGAAGTACTTGTCAATGCTTTTTTATTAGTACTTCCTATTTTCATGCTCTCTTCAAGTGCAGATTTTTAGCTTCAAGTGTATTTCATATTTGATGTTTTATGGTTAGCTAAGCAGTGGCAATCAGCATTTCTACTCTTTGCATTCAAACCAGTCAATCATTTGAAGTATATGGTTGTATCTTTGAGATCTTCAGATATCATAATCTCTTTGTTACACACACAAACACACATGCATTGCATCCAGTACATTTTAAAGTTGAAACAGGAGAGGAGATGTAAAGTTGAAACAAGAGAGGAGAGGTCCTTCAAAGTTGTATACATGCAAAGATTTCCTTTGGATAATCATCATATGTTAATAACTCGATCCATGTTAAACTTTCAAAAGTGCTGATTGTTTGCTTAAAATAACCATGTTTGATGTGGTTGATTCAAAGATTTAATTTTCTCTTTAGGTTGCTTTGAAAACCCTTATTGTCATCCATCGGGCATTGAGGCAAGTTGGTCCCACGTTCCGCAATGAGCTCTTTAACTATGGGAGGAGCAAAAGCCATGTCCTTTATTTGTCCAATTTCAAGGATAACTCCAGCCAAAATGGTATTCATCTTTCCCATGCTATTCTTTACTAGAAGGAGAAACTCAGTATGACCTTCCTATTCTATTTGCTGTTTAGCATGGGATTACTCCGCATGGGTGCGTGCATATGCTTTGTTTCTTGAAGAGCGTCTGGAATGTTTCTATGCTTTGAAGTTCGATGTTGAGACAGAGTGCTCGGTAAGGGCTTGCCTCCCTGTCTATATCTTAATGTACAATGTTTTATCCATGAATTTGCAATGTTTGTGGCTACTTTGTTGTATTTAAGTTTTTCTTGACTATTTAGAAACTTCAATGAAAATCCAAGTTTCCAACACTCAGATCCTGGGAACAAATTATCTATATGTTTAATGTTGGTGTTCATCTTCTTTTTCATTCATGCATACTTCTGATTTTATACTTTAAAGTTTAAACTAATTCTAATTATTGTCGCATTTTTTGATGGTTCTCAAGGATTATTTTCGAGTTGTAGTTCGGCAGGCTTAGTTTACCTGCTTTGTATAGTTGCTTGCACTCATACTGATAATACAAACTGTGGAGATCTATGCTTATTTCATAGATTGCATGGGTTATGATTTGAACTCTTTTGCTTATTTTGCTGGATATCCTGTTATGCAAACCTGGGGCATTGATGTTGCAGCCATTATGTATTAAGGATATAGATTGAGAGGATAAAGGAGACGCTTCAAGTGAAATCTTTAAAGATCCTCATTCAGCTGGGATATTCAAACAAACTCAGCAAACTCAATCTTTGATTATTATCTAGATTATAACAAACTCAATCTTATCTATGTATCTTAGATATGTATTGGACTCCCACTATTTAATGGAAAGCATCTCTCAAGGGAGAGCAAGAGGTTGAGTTGCTTGACTTTCTATAAACTGTTATATGGTATTAGAGCCAAAGATCTCTTGGGATCTCTCTTTTTTACAACCATGGGAACATCAAACATTTTCTCATCTAATGTCACGTCTTCAACTAACTGTTCCAACACTCACCATCTCTACGAAAACAAATTTAGTGTCTTCCAAACTCAACTTTGCTGACTTCCTTTTTGTGGAGAACTCAGTTCTTGACTGTCTGTGTGGATGGATCTCTACCAGCACCACTAGCCATGATCTCTACTAGGAAAGGAGGAAAAAAAAAATCATTTCCTACCCAGAATTCATTAGTTCGGAAACAAAGGATCAGCTTCTGTTGAGTTGGATAAATGCCACCTTGTCTGAAGTAATAGGACATGCTGTTGGTCTTACCACATCTCATGAACTCTGGAGGACTTTTGAAAAATACCTACACCTAGAAGTCTAAAGCACGAGAGATCCAATGCGGTCAGCAACGCCAGTTAGGTCGATGAGTACGTTCATAATTTCTGATCATTTGAGGAGCTTTAAAGATCTAGGTGATTCTCTTGCAGCAATCCAAAAGCCCATTGCTGATGGAGACAAAGTCTTTTGGTTGCTCAACGGGGTCTGCCGGACTATGAAAATTTTGTGACCTCTATAGCTACTTATCCTTCTATTTCCTCCTATTCAATCATTAACAGGCAGCTCTTGTTAGTCAAGAGCTGCATGCTAATGATGCTCTTGCCCAACGTCACACTTGTGACACTACTTTCATTGCTCAATGTGGAGCACAATGGGGAAGACATAATAACAGAAAAGGAGGCGGCATATGTGGCAACCAATTCAACCATCATCCATTCGGCTCGCAGGAGCAGATGTATATGGCAGCAACTGGGCCAGCCCCTAACGATCATCCAAATCCGGCAGCTTGAAGCAATGTTCCTACCCAAAATCCAGCACACCCTCTCTCAACTGATGGGACAGCTGGACCAGCTCCTTGCGTGGTTTGTCAAGTTTGTGGTAAAGGAGGTCAAATCGAACATGATTATTGTCATGGTTTTAAACATGCCTATCAGTCAAACAGCATCCTCCAAGCTCTTACCGTCATATCACTAGAAACGATCCACAGTGGTGTCCCAATATAGGAGCCATCACATGATTATCAATTCAGATAACTTCTATAGATTTGCAGCCATATCTTGATAATGATAAGATGTTGGATGGAAATGGAGATACACATCCAATTTCTTATAGGATAGTTCATTTACCAACTTCAGTAGGTTCTTTTAAGATGCACAATGTTCTTCTTGTTCATGGAATTCAGAAAGACCTCATATCAATCAACCTATTAGGCATCATGATTATACAATTGAATTCATGCATTATAAAAGTAACAGAAAACATGGGGATTGCTGGGGATGGCAAGTAGACAGTAGGATCACCTTATAATAAGTTTTTTGGAGTTACCAATATTTTCGAATTGAAATTCAAAATTTGAATTTCAAATTTATATTGTACAATTTCTAATTTAATATGATAAGTATTGTACATTTTGTATTTTTGTTAGATAGATCCCTACAATCAAGGGATTGAAATCTCTTGTATCCTCTACAAATACCCCACGTTTTGGGTAGTACAATACATTGAAAATTTGTTCCATTCAAATTGCTCCAAAACTTTACATGGTTTCAAAGCAACGGTTTACCTTCTCTATAGACTGATTCTATCGACTCTCATCTTGATGTAAAGCTTTGCTAACAACCATTAGTACCTGTTGATCGTAGATCACCCTGTTATCCATGGGTTTTCACTTTTTTTATTTATTGAGGTTGGTCTTTCTTGATCACTTTTGTGTGCTCCTTCTCAGTTACTTTTGCTTGCATCCATTAGTGATTGCAAATCAGCTTTTCTTGGGTGCTCTGTTTCTATGTATGTGATTGCAAATGACCTTCTCAATAGAAAGCTTGCATCTCTCTCTCTCTCTCTCGAAGTTTGTTTCTCTAAATTTGCACCTCGCTCTCTGGTGTAAAACTTATATAGTGTGGCTGCTGTGATATTCTCTCTCTCTCTACCTACTTGTTTTTGTGTGGCATATCCTAAACTATTGGAATGACGTAAAAAATAAAGGGATTGAGTAGTACCAAGATCGGTACCATAAGGATTTTGATTTTCAGATGAAGAATCCATGGTGGTGTTGTTATTGATGTCACTCATGACTCACAAAACTTTGAAGAAAGAGGAAGTGCAGCAGCGTGGAGTCTCTCTAATTTGTAGGGTGTGTGATATTATACCACACAAAACAAGTACGTAGATAGAGAGAATATCACAACAGCCACACTAAATAAAGTTTTACAAAAGAGATGCAAATTTAGAGAATCAAATGTAGAGAGAGAGACAGATGCAAGCTTTCTATTGAGAAGGTAAAAAAAAATTTGCATGAGCAAAAAACAAAAAACAGGGCACCCAAGAAAAGATGATTTGCAAGCAACAATAGATGCAATCAAAAGAAACTTAGAAGGAGCACGCATAAGCGATCAAGAAATACCAACTTCAGTAAAACAAAAAAAGTGAAAACCTACGGATAACAGGTTGATATATGATCAACAGGTGCTGATAGTTGTTGATAAAGCTTTACATCAAGATGAGAGGCGACAAAATCAGTTTATAGATAAGGTAAACCGTTTTTTGATACCATATCAAGTTTTAGAGCAATTTGAATAGATTAATTTTTCAATGCATTGTATTATCCAAAACATAGAATATTTGTAGAGGATAAAAGAGGTTTTAATCCCTTGATTGTGAGGATCTATCTAACAAAAATAGAAACTATACAATGCTTAACCTACTAGATTACAAAGTGTACATCAATACAAAATTTGAAATTCAAGACTCGAATTTCAATTCGAAAATATTGGTAACTCCCAACACTTCCCCTCAAGTTGGAGCGTAAACATTGAGTATGCTCGACTTGCATGCGAGAAATTGAAATTGCTCTTTTCCAAGAGCTTTTGTGAATATATCGGCTCGTTGAGAACCACTTGGGACATGAGTAGTACGAATGATACCTTATTGAATTTTTTTTCTAACTAGATGACAATCAAGTTCAATATGTTTTGTTTGCTCATGGAGGACTGGATTGACAACAATTTGTATGGCTGATTTGTTGTCACAATAAAGCTTCATAGGGCCATTATGAGGAATGCCAAGATCAAGCAAGAGGTATTTTAGCCAAGTAAGTTCACAAGATGCAACTGCTATGGAACGATATTCCGTTTTGCAGATGATGTGAAACTGTTTGTTGTTTCTTAATTTTTCATGATATGGGGCTGTCTTCTAACAAAATGCAGTAACCAGTAGTCATGCGTCTGGTCATTGGGCAACTAATCCAACCAGAATCGCAATAAGCAGAGAGTTGTGAACTATTATTAGTAGAGAGCAGAATTCATTAGCCAGGTGTCCCTTTTAAGTAATGAAGAGTTCAAGTAGCAGCATCTAAGTGTGGTTTTCGAGGTTGATTCATGGATTGACTGAGGATGTGGACACTGTAGATAATGTCTGGCCTTGTAATTATGAGATATATAAATCTACCAATCAACTGTCAATAAGGCGTGGAGTCATCTAAAAGAGGTCTATTTTTAGCATTCAGTTTTAAATTTTGTTCCATAGGGAAAGTGATAGATTATGTAGCCAAATGACCCATGTCTTGAAGAATCTCAAGAGGGTATTTCCTTTGTGTTAGAAGAATTCCTTTCTTAGAGAACCTCAATGCCAAGAAAGTATGTCAAAGGACTTATGTCCTTGATATGAAATCGATTATTGAGAAAAGTCTTGATAGTATTAATATTGGTGCCAGTGATCACAATATCGTCTACATAGGCCAGGACATATGTGCATGAATTGCCAATAATTTTGGTGAATAAAGAATAATCCACCTTGCTTAAACATATCCTGTAGCTAATAATGCATCTGAAAATTTGGCAAACCATTGCCTAGAAGCCTGTTTAAGTCGATAAAGGGACTTATTCAAACAACAAACTCGGTGCTCTCCCTTATATGAAACACCTGGTGGTATCTTCATGAATACCTCTTCATATAAATCACCATCTAAAAAGCATTTTGAACATCCAATTGGTGCAAAGACCTATTTTTAATAGTAGCAATTGCAAGAAGACAACAAAAAGCTTTGCTACAGGAGCAAAGGTTTCATGATAATCGAGCCCTTCTTGCTGGTTTTGTCCTTTGACGACCAATAGAGCCTTGTAACGCTCGATAGGCCCATCCTGTTTGTACATTTTCTTGTAGATCATTTGCATCCAATGGGTCTTTTGTTGAGGGGT